GGGTGAGGGTCGGGGCCGGTTCACGGAGGAGGAAAAGAGCGTTTAAATCCTCCGCCTGGGGCTGGGAGCGGCCAAGTGGGTTTCCTCCCCGCTTTCCCGGGGTGGTTCCTCGGTGGGGATGGAGGGATGGATGGTGTGGGACACTAAGGGCGCTGCTGAGGTGACTCATGGAGTGGAAAGGCTGGTACAGCCTGGGAGGGGGGTCAGGGCAGCAGAGGGGTGTTTGGGGGGCTTTAAGCACCCCAGTGCTCTGCGGGCTTTACCCCTGTTGGGGAGGAGGGGGTGTCTGAGCCAGAGACCGTCCTGCTGGGAATTCCTTTGCAGCCTTTGGTGAGGGGCAGAGCAGGCTGCCAGCAGCTCTCGCGGTGGCAAAGGAGCTCTGAAATCAGTGTGAATGCAACACTTGTCTGCTCTCCAAGGCCTCCAGTGCCTCCTCCGAGGGTCAGCTGGGCAGGGAAGCTATAGGGTGAGCTTGTCAAGACCCTGGGTGCCTGGAGAAAGGGCTGAGGGTCAGGCTGGGACCTGACACAGGGTGAGGAGCAGGTGCCCTCAGTGCTGTGCTGTGCCTGAGGGGAGAGTAGATATTAGGCACAAGAGAGAACTTCTGATTGCTCTGTTACATGTGGATGATCATTTATTCCCACAAATGAGCAGGTTGTGCCTTTCTGCTCTCTCTGTCACCCCATTTAAAAGTGTTGGTGGAGGGACCAGGGTATCAGAGCTGGACAAACAGCTCTGCAGAGGTTGGGCTTTCTCTGGTTTTCTTTGGAGGTGTTTGTGAAAGTTAAAAGCTGTTGGTTATGGCACTTGGCTGTCCCTCTTGTCCTTCTCCATGGAACAGAAATGGGAACATGTCTATCCTCTCATTCATATGATCCCCATCTTTGTCCCTTCTTTTTCCTCCCTGTGAGCAAATACTCTGTTGCATTTCTAAGTTCAGATGTGAATTATGAAACCACTGAGACCTGAACTAGCCCTGACACGGTCCCAGCCCTGTTGAAACACTTGAGATTGCTGGTGCTGGAAGGTTTCCTCAGGTTGTCAGTCTATAGAGAACACTTGCAGGTAACCTGGGCAGGGATGTCCTGGGCATGAACGGCCCAGCCATGGGCCCTCTGGGTCTTTTTGGAGTCAATTGGCACAGGGAAAAACATATTTTGGTTTCTCTTTCCC